GATGAGTTGAAGCTGGTTTGGTTGAGTCAGGCTGCAAGTCAAGTCCAATCTGTTAGAACTTTGGGTCTGGGCTGCCAGCATGCAGCTGCTAATCTAATTTGTTCTGCTGGGTAGCTGCAGCTATGATATACATAGATCTGTTGGTATGAAATCTGCTATGTGTGAGTGGGCTGCTGCCTTGTCTTTGGACTGCTACTGGTGCAATCAGAGTTTATGGATGTTAATTAGTGGAGTGCTATGTTGGTCTGTCAAGGTTCAAATATGCATTATTATTGGGTATTGGTTAAGGTCCTAGTATGTTATGCTCAGCTACTGATGCAATCACAATGGGAGCTTGCTGTTAGGCTGCTAACATGCTAACTGTGGAAGGTTTCTGATATGTTAAGGTGAGTAGGGTTGCTGAGATGGTGGTGGTTGGGGATGGACTGAATTGGCTTGGTTCTCCATCTTCAAATCTGGCTGTGTTTATGGATGTTGATTGGTGATTGAATGGTGAATGGTGATTGAATGGCAGAGTTTTAGGTCCTAGTATGATTATGCTCAGTACTGGTGCAACCACCACAGGCTGCTGGTCTGCTATTGTATGTTATGCTCAGCCACTGCTTTGGTGATCTGTCTTATGACCCAGCTGTGGTGTGCTTTTGTTGCCTTTTTGTTTTTGTTTTGTTTTGTTCCGCTCTGTTTGTTGGTTTCTCACCATCTTGGAGCCTCGAGTGTGTGCTAGCAGATGATTTGGTGTGCGTTTAGGTGCCAACCTAGTTGGGATCCAAATGTTTCACTGTGATGCTTTTTGCACCCTCTTCTTTATTGATGTATCCTATCATACTCGTTATGTTTTCCATCAATAAAGCTTTCTTTTGCCGATCAAAAAAAAATATTGTATTTTATCCAAATTTTAGAAAAAAAGTCAATGTCATTTATCGTTTAAATAATTATTAATGGACAACCTAAAAAAAAAAAAAAAAAGAGTCAACTTTTAACTAAGAAAGTTATAAATTCCAAAAATCATTATGTTAGGTTGTCATTAACTTAAAATATCAAATGCAGCATTAACATTTTTATCATAAAAAATAAAAAATAAAAAATTTAAAATCAAGGTTGAGTGAGCTAGTGGCCAGATGGGAATCGTCCTAAATTTATATAATTTTCTAAGATTTCATGTGGCTGCTAGCATTATTCCATCTATTGCACGTTAAAATATGACATTGACATTATTCACTCCCTTATAATATGCATACACAAAAGAACAAATAATATTTAATATGGTTGGACTCAAATGCCTAAATTCATTGGAGAGAGACACATTTACTATATATAAAAAATAAAAACCATATATGTGATGATTAAAAAACACTTAAAACTCACAGCCACTATCCGAATTCTTTATCAAAGGAATTGAGCCATTGTTGACTCAGTGCTCAATAGTATTTTTTTCTCACCCTATGTATATCTTAATTTTCTCTCCTCTCACGCTCTTCTCCGTCTCTCATTCAACCCATCCCATACACTCAATAATATATCTCCAGATGGTTGAGGACCTTTGCACTTTTCCACACAATCCTTTTTCTTCCAATGATAGCTGCCGAGTACCAAAGAAAAGACATGAATTGTCAAACACATTAATATTAGAAGACCTTGCACTTCCCACGCAAGCTACAAGTGGGCTGCATCTTCTTATAATTTGGGCTGGTATCATTTTGATTCATAATTTCTTAATTATGACACATTTAATTATAAATTATAAATTTTATTTTAAATAAAGATAATTAAAGATATCGTTGTTTAATTTCAAGGGTAAAATCGTCAATTTGATAAAATATAAATTAATTTGACAAAAATAAATGTCAAAAAATATTTTTAATTTTTTAAAAATTATTTATACTTACTAAAGATAAAATTATGTAAAATTTGATAAATCTTTAGACATTTATTTATTTTACCAAATTAATTTTTATTATGTGTTTGGATAATAATCATGTAATGGAGAATTGTTAGAATTTTAATGTGTAATCGATATATTTAATATATGAAATGTTTTTAGTTTTGGATTTTTTGATTTAATGAATTGGTTTAATAATGATATCAAAATTGTCACCATATTTGATTTTTGAAAAAATAAAAACTAATTTAGCAAAAATAAAAACAATCACCTATTACATGATCATTATCCAAACACATAATAAAAATTAATTTAGTAAAATAAATAAATAAATAAATGTTTAAAAGATTTATCAATTTTACATAATTTCATTTTTGATAGAAATAATTTTTAAAAATTCAAAAATATTTTTTTGAAATTTATTTTTGTCAGATTAGTTTATATTTTATCAAATTGAAGATTTTGCTATTGAAATTAAGCAATAGTATCTTAAATTGTCTTTAGTTGGAATAAGATTCAAAATTTTAGGTTAAATATGTCACAATTGAAAAGTTAGGAACCAAAGTGACACAAATCCCAAACTACAGGGACTATTAGTATAATTTGCCCTTAATTTTTTTAGTAACTTTTTTACTTTTAAATTAAAAGATTGAGTTGCCAAACGAGACCTTAATTTAAATTTTTAAGAATATGTTTGGTCAAATAAGTTGTCACATCAGAGGTGCTGATGTATAAGGTAGAGGTGCTGCTGGTGTGTGCTGCTGATATGAGCTGCTGATGTATTAGTGCTCTTGTTCTGGTTTTTATTGGTTCTTTATTTTGTTGGTTACTTTGATTGGTTTCTCACCAATCTGGGTCAAGTACTAGTAAATGATTTTGCTTCCTTTGAGTGCCAACCTAGTTGAAATTATTGAGGTTAGTTATGATGCTAAGTACACTTTCCTGCTTTGCTGATGTATTTTTACATATATATTGCTTTTTTTTTTTTATCAATAAAGCTTTATTTTTGCAGATCAAAAAAAAAAAAAAAGTTGTCACATTAGGTTTGAAAAGTTTTGCCATTATCAATACTTTATGCACTCGCCTTTTATTTATTGATGTTTGTCTCTGAATTTACTTTGTACATTAAATTCCATCGATAATTTTTTTTACTTATCAAAATTTGATATTTAACTATGTAGTAATGTTCAATAATACATCATTATGAGCTGTAGCGAACATTAGTATTTATAATATAATTAATGTGTGGGGTCAATAATAATATTATAACTAGTGTTGATTTGATACACTATTTAGTACATTAAGAAAATGTAGCACCACAGATATACATGACATTGGACAAAATGATTCGTTGTAATATTTTAAGAAATCAATAAATAAATTAAAGAAATGTTTGATGAATTAAATGGTTTATTTTTTATTTTTTAAATCTTATGAGTTTTTCAAGATTAATGTATCTAAACAAACTCTATATAGTATATGGTGTCACAAATGTTTAATTTAAAACAAAGAATTGCATGATTTTTAAATAATATTACATGAATGTATCTACGTAGATTTGCTAAAAACAACAGAACTCAATCTAAGAAATTAGGGTAGGGGTTATGTCTCTACCTAATTGGGATTTGTCTTCTTGGAGTGAAGCTTTACCCTTGGATCTTTATTAAGAAAAAATAAAAATTATGGTTGTTGAAGTCTTTTATTAATAAAAAAAACTCAAAGCCATGTCCTTCAAACCTGCCAATTTAAGAAAGACATAGGGGTAGGGGCTATGTCTCATCCTAATTGGGATTTGTCTTCTTGCTGTGAAGCTTTCCCCTTTGTTTTTTTTTTTTTTTTTATCAGCCAAAATAAATCTTTATTGATGAATAAACATACACGATTTGATAAAATACATCAATAAAGAGGAGCTTGAAACTAACAGGAAGCTCTAAGCGCCAGTTGGTAAGGAACCAACAGAAAAGAGAGCAAAAAAAACACAAGAAACCAGAGCTGATGAAGCTTTCCCCTTTGATCTTTATTAATGTAAGAAAAAATAAAAATTATGGTTGTTGAAGTCTTTTATTATTTCAAAACTCAAAGCCATGTCCTTCAAACTTGCCTATTTAAGAATAAAAGGAAACATGTGTTCGATTTTCTTAAGGAAAAAATAAAAAATAAAAAGAATAACAGAAACATGTTTTTTTTTTTTAACGTTATCTTTGGTTTATTAATTTGGGAAATGATTTGAAAAAAAAAAGAAGAAAAAAGGTAAAATGTGAATGAATATAATTACATTTCACTTATATTTTACATATATTTTTCATTTTTATTTTTAATTTTCTATCCAAATTCATAAATCAATCACAACCTAAAGAAACAAAGATGAAAAACAATTAATTTGTAGTTGTTCAAGTCTTTTACTACTGTTATTTTAAGACTCATATTTACGTGAGTCCTCTAAAAGCCCCGATATGGAGAAATTCTGTATGTGGATAGGATACATGTCATGTGGTACCTTCCACTATTGTAATTGATTTTGACAGTAGGATCCACTACATTTTCCCGATATGGCGTTGGTATTGTGCCATAAGGCACAATACCCCTGTTGTGAGATCTTGTGAACTCAATCCGAGAAATTAGGGTAGGGGTTATGTCTCTACCTATCCTTAATAAAAATAATTAGGTTAATCGGACATGTATAATCCCATGATCATATCATAATTATTTTTAAATAAAGTATCAAAATTATGCTAATCGTTTATTTATTTAAAAACAAATTTGATCTTTATATGAGGCAACAGATGTTTAATTAACTTTATTTTTTTTTATAGATGATCTACTCGACGAACCCTAAATATAACATTAATGCTAGAGACCCAAAATTTGGATCCTTAAATTGATCTGCAATGATGTGGTAAGAGAGGTAGGCCCTACACAATTGAATATATGACAAATCAAAAGTTGACATGTATCATGCTATATCATTGTAGGTCAAATTATAATTTTTTTTTTTTTTTACGAGTCTTAAATATTTTTCATGATATAAATAGTTTGAATTATCAAAATAGATTATAGACAAACCCGCTTCACATAAGGCTCTGGCACCAACCCAACATAAACAAAAATTGACTCGAGGTTGTTGGAGTCATTTTTTATTAATGTTCAAAGCAGTATATAAGGAAGAAAAGATGTAGAGTTTTTCTCACATCCTCAAAAGACATTTCAAACTCCATAGGCCACCAAACACTAGTATTTCCCATGGCTCTATCATTCCAAAAGGAACTAAATCAAGTAATCTTTATTTTTTCTTTACAATCTTTGTTATTTCATTTTATTTTATTTTATTTGCTTTTTAAAATTTGGAAAGTTTTCCATCCATCCATTCATAATTTTTTTAGGTAAAATGTGATGTTTAAAATACGATTGGTCACTAGTATTTTTAAAAATTACATCTTGTCTCATGAAATTTTCAATTTCAAAACAAATGACCTATTTTATTAATTTATAATTCATCAAATCAATTAATAGTTTTTAATGGTGTTAGAAATTTATTTCAATTAATAATTCAGATAATTTTATCATTGTATGGGTGAGCAGTTAGAAATTCTTATTTTTTCAGTTAATTCTATCTTTATTTATTTTTATTTTTTTTGACAAGGGACTATTTATAATTTTTCAAATCATAGAGAACAATTTATATTTTAAACAAACCTCAAGAGGCGTATTTATAATTTATTATTATTATTTTTTTAACAGATTTATAGTTCACAAAATTGTTTCTGACAATGATGGGCTTAGGAAGTGTATCTAATAATCCAAGCATCAATTTTATTAAACTTGAATATGTCAAAGAGTTTTGGATCAATGTAAAAGTTATTAATTTTGCGCTGGGAGTTTTTAAATTTTCATTACACTTTGGCCCTTAATTATGTGTCATCATCACTTTATTCTCTCAACTAAAAATTGCTATGTTTTGCCCTTAATCTTTTAATTTGTTTCAATCTCAATCTATTGTTGACATTTTGTTTTGAAAAGATGATGGAAAAATGGAATAGAGCTGTACAGTTTTATGGCATATATGTTTATTCAAGAACTCGTTTATAGATATACATATCTTTCTCTTTGATCATAAAATAGACATGTGCATATATTTTTCATAAGAAATGAAAATATATATATATATATATATATTGACCCATATATATATGAGTTTGGGAAAATGTAAACATGTATTTAAATTTTAAATATTTTGATGTTATAACAAATCAATAATTAATCTAATGATTTTAGGAAGAACGCGTGTACAGTTATGATAAAATATTAGTTTTCTTCCATTGCATGTTAAGGTGTTGAGACTATCTTCTTTTCTTTTTTTTTCTTTTTTTCTTACTATTATTTATCATCAGGTGCTTTTTGAAGAGAATGCAGGAGTGAGGAAAGTGATACTGAATAGACCCAAGAAATTAAATATCCTCAACTACGAAATGGTATGGTAGAAATGCGTACTTTTATACTTGAAATACTTGTTAACCACCACTAATATTAAAATTTGGTTGTACATCTTGAGACATGTAACATATAAATAAACTTTTCCTAACATTAGCTTAACAATAATAACAATAATTTGGATAAAAACCTCTAGTGATTAGGCCAAAAAATATGATTTGGTGAAAATATAATGAATTCCACAATTTTGACATAATTATATTAATCAAATTTTTAGTATGGTTAAAACGATTAAAACTAATAATGGTAGGTACACACATAAATAATCAAAAACAAAGATAAATTTTAGTAGGAATTATTGATACGACGGACGAATTATTGATAAAAAAAATATTTAAGTATTACGTGAATTAAAAACTTTGAGAGATGTCAATATAATTATGTCAAAAGTATAGGAATGATTGTATTTTTTTTAAAATCTTAGGAAAGTGAGTATAATTTACCCTTTTTTTAATGGACAATTTACATACAAGGATTTACAAAATGAGTGGATTGGATCATTAGAGTAAGGCCAGATAGTTTTTCCAATTCTCTTTCTTTTAATATGTTTTGTTGAATTCCAGCATTTCATAAAATAAAAAATACAAAGATATATTGTTCTTATACAATATCAGTTATTCAAATCCAAAACACTTCAACTTTGTTGTGTACAGGTTTGCCAGATGTTAAAGAAGCTGGAAGCCTATGAGAATGATCCCACAGTGAAACTTGTGATTCTAAAGGTTAGAAAGATATGTCAACATATAAAACTTGAAGGATCATTCAAACTTGAAATCAATTAAAATTTACTTCATGTTTTGTACATGAAATAAATCAGCTAAAATTACTTATCATTATCTCTATGTTGTACATGAAATTTTATGAAAATATTAACTCACATCATTTACTATCGACACCAAATTTTATTTGCTCCCTTCTTGTTATTACTGCAGGGAAATGGAAAAGCTTTTTGTGCTGGTGGTGATGTTACCGCTGTGATAACTTTTATCACTACTGGTAAAGCTACTAGTTTAGCCGTTTATTACATTTTGAATGTCGTAGAGATATTTTTAAGAAAATAAAATTCCTGACAACATATAGCCTTGTTTGAGAAGTGAAATTTTAGTTTTTTTTAGGTTAAAATTTACGAAAAAATAAAATATGGTAAAATAATTAATAAAACAAAATATTACATTAAATTCATAATCATTTTACTTTTTCTCTCATCCAACTACAAAAAAAATAGTCAAAATCAAATATCATTTTACATCAAATATCACATCCAACTACCAAAAAAAAAAAATATCACTTTACTTTTTCTCTCATTTTAAATCAAATATTACATCCAACTATAAAAAAAATCAAATAATCTCTCTTAATATAAAAATTTTAACCTACTAAAATAATTAAAAACTAAAATAGCCTATTAAAATAGTAATTTCTCAAGCACCCACATACTTTCTAAAACTACGATTATCCGCATATATTATGCTAATCTGATTCTCTAAAATCACGAATGTACATTAGTTATATATTATGCTAATCTGATTCTCTTCCTTCTATTATATCATTGTATTTCGGGTTAATAAAATTTATTTTTTGCCACTCCACATTAAATGTTTTAGGCCATTGGAGCTTTGGTGCAAGCTTTTATAGGAAGCAACTCGCTTTAGACTATTTACTCGGAACATACAAGAAGCCTTTGGTGAGATATTCCCCTCTAATGGTTTTTCTCCAAAATTTCTTCTTTTTTTGTTTTTGTTTTCGTTTTTTTTTTTTCCCCTCATTTATTTATTATCATTTTCGCCCTACAATATATGAATTATTGTAGGTTTCGTTGATAAATGGATTTGTAATGGGAGGAGGTGCCGGAATATCCATGCATGCAACATTTCGAATTGTTACTGAGAAAACTGTATAATTTTTGTACAATTTTCTTTATATACTAAGCTTTTTAATTGGTTACGTTTTTCACAATTATTTATAAAATGTTTACTAATAATACTTAATGGTCGTGTACAATTCTACAGGTATTTGCTATGCCAGAAACATCAATAGGACTTTTTCCTGATGTCGGTGCTTCCCATTTCCTATCGAGGCTTCCGGGATTTTTTGGTAAGAAACTTTATTATTATTATTATGATTCTTATTCTTATTCTTATTCTTATTCTTATTTATTTTGCATTATTCATTTTTGACAACATAATATAAATACTGAAATCACATCAGAATATGAAATAGAGCATGTGTTTGAACCTTACCATCTATCTAGCAATTGAAAATACTTGCACGTTATAAAGGAGAGTCTGGTTACACATGAAGAGATATGTTGAGAATATAATACAAATAATGAAATTATTCCTCTAACAACTTAATATTAGAATATATGTTCGATTCATTTAGTTTTAGGCCATTTAAACTAATTCTTGTCAAATTTTTTGTGCATAGGCGAATATCTAGGGCTGACCGGAGCTCGATTAGATGGAATTGAGATGCTTACATGTGGCCTTGCAACTCATTTTGTCAATTCAAAGGTAATTACAATAAATCATGTTATTTCATAACTTTGAATGTTTAAGAAGTTTTGTGTGATCAGATTGAACTAAAATCAAGAAGCATCATGCATAAGCTTATGAAAAAATTAATAACCAAAATCCATCATGATAGTGAATAAGTAGAGGACAAGGCTTTGCAAAAATGTATTTCATTAATAGGATAAATTATATTGGCAGTCCCGTATTTTATTAATTGTGTCATTTTAATTTTAAATTTTGTATCAATTTAAGCCAATTGATAACATCGATTAGGATTTTTGAAAAATTGTGGTTGAGTTGTTTGCGGTTAGCTCAGTGAGCTAAACAAGTTTTTAATTTAGTTTATAAAAGCATAAGATACATTGCTTATGTGCACATTTTTAAATCCAAAATATTAACAATCGTAATTAATTGAATGAAATTGAGATAAAATTATAAATTCATGATTAAAATAGAGTCGAATACAATTACAAGGACCAAAACGATACAAAGATAAAAATATATGGACTATCGACTTAATTTTCCCGAAAATTAATAACTAAAATCCATCTTGATAGTGAACAAGAACACAAGGCTTCGCAAAAATTCCAAATATCATCATCAATTTTATTCAACTATTCACATTTTAAAACTACAAATATAAAGTGTATATATATATATATATTTGGTCTAATTCCCATTAAACATTTTGGAAATTCCAAGATTGCTACTCTCCTTTGCATAGCATTATATCACTTGCTTTAAATTATCTTTTAGGATCTTGATTCGTTGGAAATTGCACTCAATGCGGCGGGTTATTCGGATACATTGGACATCATGACCATTTCAAAGATTATCAACAAATTTGTACAAAAAGTACATATAAAACAAGATAGCTCGTATAGAAGGTAACGATTTCTTGGTTATTCCATCGTTTAAGATGTTGTTACATGGTTCTATATCATTGATTTTATGCATGGAATCAAATATATTTGACATTAAATACATTGGTTAAATAGATTGGAAATTATCAACAAATGCTTCTCAAGAGAAACAGTAGAGGAAATATTATCATCATTGGTAAGCTTGTCAATAACTAGCATATTTTTTTATTTACTCATTTGCAAAAAATATATAAATTTGTTTGGTAATATATATATGGTTTCACGTATCAAAGTAATCCCCTAATACATAAATTTGTTTGGCTCAGGAAAAATTAGTTGTAAACAATGAAGAGACGTGGATTATTGAGGCAATAAACTCTATGAAGTCAGCCTCTCCTACAAGCCTTAAAATTTTTCTGAGATCGGTAACAATTGTTACAAACACTTTATTACAACTTCGGAAAATCTAAAGAGTTCTTTTTAGGGTTTGAAATGAACAAACGCTGTGTTTTGCCATTCATAGATCCGAGAAGGTCGAACCCAGAAGCTTAAACAGTGTCTTGTTCGTGAGTTTAATGTTTTGTGCCACATAATGCGAAGGACAATTCATGATGATTTCTTTGAGGTTGTGCACTCGCCTTTCTCTTTGATGTTTGTGTTAGCAACCTTTGTTCGTTAATCTTCATCAATAGAAGTCTTTTTTCGGTTTTTTTTTTTTTTAAAAAAAAATTAAAAAAACTACTTTTATTGGTTTTAGAATCTTTTTCCTTATGTTGATTAACACTGGGAAAGATTTTTTGAATGCAGGGTTCGAGAGCAATGTTTTTTGACAAGGATAAACGACCACAGGTATATAAGATAGTTTTTCTTTTTTTTTCCGGATTTAATTTCTCTTAAATTGTCATATCAACTTAGAAGAATGTTTGAGCTTAATAGGCCTATTTTGAAACCAATTTTAGTGATACAAACCGTTTTCTATTTTTGACTTATTGAATAGAATATTCATATAAAATATTAAAATGATTAGATATCAGTAGTTATATATTTGAATCACATTAGTTTTAAGAAAATAGATGACAAATAATTTTAAGAATAATCCTTTATTGTTTCTAATACAAATTTGATTCAAACATATGTCTACTAATATTCAATCATTTTGATTTTTTGTATGAATATTTTATTTAATAAATCTTAAAAAGTAAAAAATTTGAATTATCAAAATAAAACTTGTATTGAATTTCATGAATCTCCCAAATTCTCCCATATTTATATGTAAATATATGAAAATAAGTCTAACCCTTCTCCACAGGCACGCAAGTATAGTTTTTTCACCAACACAAATTCCCACAATTATTTTCTCTTTGATTTTCTTCTTTTGATTATTACAAGTCCAAATTTTCATTTTAAAAGTGGGCTTTGTTTCCAAGATGACATTGAAAAGACAAGAAGTTCAAAAACATATGTGGTTTAAATTTTTAGGATTTACCTTTTAAAAAATTATTTTTTTTATTTTTTATTGAATATTTTTTTGTTTTTATTGAATTTTTTAATATTTTAAGTAATTTTTTTTTTAATTTCTAAATACAACTAATATAAATATACTTAAAAAGTATAATATTTGTAAAAAAGATCGTAGAAAATTCACTAAATACCAAAAATAAAAAAAATACTAGAATTTAGTGTATATATATATATATATATGTATTTTGTATTCTTATATATTTTTTGAAATTTTTACTTTTTAAATACATCTAAGTAAGGTGCATATAAAAAAATAATTTTTTTTAATTTTCTAAAAAAATATTCACTAAAACTAAAAAATATAAAAATTAAAAAACTCAAACCAAACGCACTGAATACAACTTTATATTTTATACTAGTCTCTTCTGGTGGTGTAGGCTGGTTTGGGAATAGAGTTGTATTTTAAATTTGTGAGTTTTGGAATTATGATTTGAGTGTATAAAATTTGTTTGGTTAATGAGTTTTGAAAAAAGTTTTGAATTGAGTATGGAATTTTGATGTGACATACGATATTTGATATAAAAACTTACAAGTCATAACTAAACACATAACTCAAAATTATATTCAAAGTTCATAAAAATTTTAAAAAATTATGAAATTTTTTAATTTAAAATATAAAAAATAACAGGTGGCATTTGTATAAAAAAAAATAAAAAATTCACTGTTCTAATTAATCGGCCGGACGTTCGGGAGGACGACCAGTTAGCCCAAATTTTTCCGTCTTGAAGAGAGTTTTCAAAAATGAGTGTGAAATTAATTTTTAAAAACTATAAATAAACGCCACACTCAAATATAATGATAAAATTAAGTTTAAAGAGATCCACCAAATAGCACCTAAGTTTTTCACTTAATTTGTCCATATTCATGGTCCACAAGTATTTCCTTTAACTTCCTTTACATGTCCTTGAGCTATTAATTTTTAATTTCAAACAGTGGAAGCCATCGAAGCTAGAGCAAGTGAGTGAAGAAATGGTCAATCAGTGTTCCAATAACATTGATGATGATGACTGGGTGAAATTACAAATTCCTACAAGATCCATGCCAACCTTCACTGTGCAATCAAAAATCTAGCATCAATAGTGGAAGATAGTGAAATAAATTAAGTGATTGGTTTTATGATTGTAAGAAAAACAAAATCTAAACTATTCAGTGTAAAAATATTTGTCAGTTGTTTGACTCTGTATCTAAGTACACATCTATCTGCCAAAAAAAAAAGGCAAATTAAATGGTCTTTATAATTTATACAATGTGTCAATTTAGTTTATACTGTTTTATTTTGTTCGATTTTATCTCTTAATTTAACAAATTGTGATATATTGGTCCAATAAATAATATCCGTTAAATTTAGTAAACGGAAACTTAAATAATGTGTCAATTTGGTCCCTATCAAAATCAAGCAAATTAAAACAATAGGGATCAAATTGACATATCATGCAAACTACAATGACCAAATCGACACATCATTTGAGCATGTGATGACTTTTCGTCCATCAAACCTAACGACTATTGTTTATTGGACCAATATGACATAATCTATTAAACTAATGGGTAAAATCGAGCAAATCAAAACAAGAGGGACCAAATGGACATATCATGTAAAGTGCATGGATCATTTGCATAGTTTATCAAAAAATAAAAATAATTAAAAAATTTAAATAATAATACAAATTGCTTTCAATGTCTTATGATTATGATATTAAAATATTCTTAATTCTTACGTTGAAGTGAAAAAGAAATTAGAGTACAATCCATTTTACCCTTTTGTGGTTTAAGGCAAAAGTATTTTTATCTTCTTATGATTCAAGTATAGGCAATAAACCTCCATATAATTGTGAACCAAAATGCAAACGTTACTTTTCGGTCCAATTTTACAGAATGTGTAATATACTCTGCATTTTTGAGAGTGGACATTCTTTTTAGAAATTATTAAAGTTAAATTACAATTGAAAAGATTTTTATACCCCCATCTTCAACCCCTAAAATCCTAACTCTACGGTTATGTTTGTTTAGGCGAATTAAATTAGATTGGATTAGTATTCCTATGACTAATAGTCTTAGGACTACGAATTTTTTGAGTTGTGTCTCTTATACTATATTTAGATTGAGTTAGGATTATAAGGAGATATTAATAAAATATTATTCAATCCGATGTTTGTTTAAATAGATTGGAATAGATAAGACATGGGACATTCAATATATATATTGACCATAATAGCTCTATTATGATCATTTGATAAGTCAGTTCAAACTTTGACTTAGTGTCCCAATTTATATCACATCCTTTATGTGGATTGCATAGTCCATCATATGTAGAATACCATATCCAGATGAATTGTTAGTCTGTACTTCAATTTTTTAACCAAATATCATATTAATAATTTTATTGGACTATTAATCCAATCTCAAGCACATACCCGCCCAAACAAACATGGCCTACAAGTCATACCATCCCCAACACTTCCAGCCATTCCATCTACCTCCTCAAGCCCCATTTATGTCCCATGTTTCTTTCCCAGCCACATCTGCCTCTTCCAGTGTACATTCCGACCACCACTATCACTGCCTCTTCCTTCCTTGAGCATCATTGTGTAGACACCCCATTTTTGACCGACCTTGAGACTCAGACGTCACCAGTTGAGCGCTTGGTGATATTGCATATTGTGCTCATTCAGAAGTTTCAGTGTCTCGGCTGCGAGCCTTGCCTCCAGACTTCCGGACCCTTTCATGCTTTGCCTCGGTTTGCGAACCAAGCTCGGTTTTCTCTGTTTTCTCTTCGCGAAGGGAGGGAGAGGTCTTGTAGATCATCTCTCAGTGGCCGTAGGCTACGTTTTGTGGTCGTAGGCCATTTTGCCCGTTTGGAGTCCGGTTTTCGATTTTTCGGAGCCGTTGGCCGTGTGCCTCGGTTCAGGACCGTTTAATTACCTCCATTTGCTTTGGTTTTTGGCATACTTCTCATTTGCTACCTTTTGAGGGACACTGTGGTCCGAGAGACCCACTTCGTGGTCGAACACCACTCCCGGTGCCTAACAGCCCATTTTCAGGGCCCTAAGCTGCGCGTTTCGGCCCCCGAACCTTCATTCTGCATCGGTTTTGGTTCTTTTTTGGCAGGGACCTCTGTTTCATTGGTAAGAAGGCCGTAGAAGGGTGGGAGGCCAGTAATTGTTCTGTCAGCCAACTTTATCCCTTCATCGCCCTCCGTCGCCCGTTTTTCCTCACTTCAAAGCCAATGTTGAACACCCTTGGGCCATTTTCTTGAACCCTAAACCACATATTTGTGATGTACACATCTGGGAGGCCACCAAATATTGGTGGCCGGCCAGTAACCCTTTCTGACCCTTTTGAACCCCTCCTTGAAGTGGGTTGTTCTCTCTCCTGGTTCACTTTTTCCAGTGCTTAACCACAGGGTTGTGTTGTGCACACATCAGAGGCTCTCTATTTGTGGTGGCCGGCCATTAATCACACTTGACCCTTTTGACCCTTGGCCGGCCGGCCATGGGAAGTAGCCGGCCGGCCACCTGCAACCTAAATACCTGGCCGGCCAGAATCTTTACATCTGCTACAGTGCAAATATGCATCTGTTTTCCTCCCAGATTCTGTATCCAGGGGGCTGCATTTTGGAGGGAAACTTGGTTGGTTTTCCCTCCATTTTTCCCCCCTTTCCCCCCCCCCTTTTGGCCTTTATAACAGGGGCTCCAGTTCTGATTTTAGGGTTACAAAAAATCTCCCCTAAGCTCTTGCTTTGTATCCCTCTTTCTCCATACTCCCAAGCTCAAAACCTTCAAGTTCCTACACCCTTCTCTACACCACCACCTAGCACCATACCTCCAACCTCCATTGAAGCCATTTGAAGTTGTTTTCTAGAGCCTAGGAGTGCTGCAATTTAAGCCAAAGAGCTGGCAAAGACAAGTCTTCAAGGGTGAGCTTCCATTTCCCATTTTCTAGCATTTTTTTGATTCATTTATAAGTCATATTTGCTTGCTGTTTTGGGCTCCGACCCTAATTGGAACTAGGCTTATTTTGAGCCATTTTTCATGTTTGTTTAAGGGCCTCACACTGTTTGAGGCCTCCTTGTTTCACTTGCTTCATTATCTCCCTTGAATGCCATTGTCTTGTGTAGTATTTTTGGCATACGTATAAACTGTTTTGAGCTCTATGATAAACTGAAAAGTTGCTTATTTTGAGCCCTTCTTCAACATTATTGAAGGGATCATTGCTGTTTGAGGCTTCCATTTGATACTTTCCATTATATCTCTCTTTTGGTCATATTTTTGCATGATTTGTTAGCCTCTTTTGCTTCTATTTTTGGGCTGTGGTCCGAACTACAAATGGCCTTACTTTGACACCATATTCATGTTTCATTAAGGGTCTTTCATGGTTTGAGGCATCCTTTATACACTTTGTGTTATATCTCTCTTTTTGGCCTCATTTTGCATAGTATCTTAGGCTTGCATGCATACTGTTTTGGGTCCGGCCATCAACTGTAAAGTGAAATATTTTTGGCCCCTATTCAACATTTTTGAAGGGCCCCTTTGTGTTTGAGGCCAGAAACCTCCACTTGCTTCTTTGACCCCCTTTTGGCCCATTTCTTGCATGAGATCTTATCCATACCTGTGCTGGTTTTTGTGGTTTTCCATAAACTGTAAAAGGTCATATTTTCGGCCCCTCTTCAACATTGTTGAAGGGCCCTAATGTGTTTGAGGCCAGAAACCTCCACTTGCTTCTTTGACCCCCTTTTGGCCCATTTCTTGCATGAGATCTTATCCATACCTGTGCTGGTTTTTGTGGTTTTCCATAAACTGTAAAAGGTCATATTTTGGGCCCCTCTTCAACATTGTTGAAGGGCCCCTTTGTGTTTGAGGCCAGAAACCTCCACTTGCTTCTTTGACCCCCTTTTGGCCCATTTCTTGCATGAGATCTTATCCATACCTGTGCTGGTTTTTGTGGTTTTCCATAAACTGTAAAAGGTCATATTTTGGGCCCCTCTTCAACATTGTTGAAGGGCCCCTTTGTGTTTGAGGCCAGAAACCTCCACTTGCTTCTTTGACCCCCTTTTGGCCCATTTCTTGCATGAGATCTTATCCATACCTGTGCTGGTTTTTGTGGTTTTCCATAAACTGTAAAAGGTCATATTTTGGGCCCCTCTTCAACATTGTTGAAGGGCCCCTTTGTGTTTGAGGCCAGAAACCTCCACTTGCTTCTTTGACCCCCTTTTGGCCCATTTCTTGCATGAGATCTTATCCATACCTGTGCTGGTTTTTGTGGTTTTCCATAAACTGTAAAAGGTCATATTTTGGGCCCCTCTTCAACATTGTTGAAGGGCCCCTTTGTGTTTGAGGCCAGAAACCTCCACTTGCTTCTTTGACCCCCTTTTGGCCCATTTCTTGCATGAGATCTTATCCATACCTGTGCTGGTTTTTGTGGTTTTCCATAAACTGTAAAAGGTCATATTTTGGGCCCCTCTTCAACATTGTTGAAGGGCCCCTTTGTGTTTGAGGCCAGAAACCACCACTTGCTTCTTTGCCCCTCTTGTATGTTTGTCTAAGTCTTCGGCCTTGTCAAAAATGGGTCGTC